TTCATCGAGAGTTTGCGTACGATCCAACACCTTCGTCAGTGGAGATAATATGACAATTTTGACTTCGACTGTGTTCCAACAGACTCAAATGTTTTTAATTTCGTAAATTCTGGTGGTACGTAATTAATATTGTAATAAAATGTGCATATTTTTTGTGATCATTTCTGTTTCTTCATTGTGAAAATCAATGACGACTCAATTAATTTCGTAATTTGATTTCCCTCAAAGACGTAATCTGTTACTTGATGAATCAAATTTTTCACTCTTTTTCGAGGGGGGTGCTCGGGTAAGCGCCCACCCCTAAAAAATCGTGATTTTCTGAGTTGAGGCCCCTGGGCGCTAACGCGGTCGAGTACGGTATATATATATATTTGAATTTCTCTTTTTAGTATTGGAACCAAGACATACTAACCGTAATACTCGTGACAATACCATTAACCTGATACATCTCTTCAGAGACTACCTTCACTATCACATTAAATGTTCAAAGGTAAGTAAATGATTCCATGTATAGATACTGCTGTTGTCACAAGAACCAGCCCAGCTGTGGATCATTTTGGTATATTTATGATGGTCAGTTATATCAGGTTACTGACTCATTCAATTTCACTGTGTTATCGTTTCAGGCTTATATTCACTCTCGTATGCGTACCAAAACCAACGACTTTCTGAAAGTTTTAAACCGAGCACGACCAGAAATTCAGGAAAAGAAAGAAAAGAAAACAATTTCGTAAGTCAGCTGTGTCACTTCAATTCTTATGTTTCTGCGCAAATAATTAGTAGTCATATTTAGTCATATATTAGTTATACAGCATTCAATAAATTACAGATGCACTTCTAATAGAGGGAATATGGTATCTGTGACCACCTATAGGTGAGTAGTAGAATGGTCAATGAAATAATATTTAAATTTCCCTGAAAAGTTGACAGTTGTGTTGCTAATATTTTGGATGTATCGTTCAAGTGAACAACGGGTGATTTTGTGTGAAAGACGGGTGCCGAACATCTGCCGCAACAATTGATTTGATTTTGAACTCAAATTTCTTTATTTCGTAACTCACATAGAAAAGCTGATCTTTGACAAGGGAATATTGCGTTTTAATACACTACTTCATCGAAATTGACCATCATCAAATGTGTACAGAACAATATTAAGCATGGAAATATTCCCAAATACTTTAGTGTTTGTCGAATCCCACGCGATGCTATGACCTTTGTTTGTCCTGCTTTTTACATTCGATTTCATGCATAACACGGTATCTCACAGTGAAAAGAAAATGATCTATTGTGATTATTGTTCGTCAAATGACATTACTAATCTTTACTCCATGTAATTAATTATTCACGAGTACATTTTGACAAATGAATGAGTAAGAGAAAACTAAAATAGTGACAGATGTAATTATAACTTTTGTGTCATTAAAATAATGTGAAACATTTTGAATTAGCTACATACCATTTCAGCAAATTTAGCTTGATGCGCTAATTAACAGTATTCTAATTTGATAGTCAGACACATGTTTAATACATCTTATACATCTTGAATTAGCTAAATTACAAATTAGCTGAATTAGCTAATATAACATGATGGCCAGAAAGACACGTTTTATAGTAATTTCTCAAGGACTGTTTTTTAGGTGATAAATTTTACAAAAACAATGAATTTGGATTTACACCTTGCATGTATTACCTAAAATCACAGTAGTGTATTGCCAGTTGGATTAAAAATGGCTTTATCATCTGCACACATTGTCTTAATAAATTTGATCTTTAATCGTGCACTGTTCCTCATTCTATGATTAAGTAATTATAACCAACACTGTTGTACAATACAGTGAGGCATTGTTCATATCATGGACAGTTTTGAAAAAACACAGTGACCAAGCTCAGAAGTTGTACATATATTTTTTGCCGCGTTTTTCAGTGTTATTCATTAAAAAATTGTGTAGCAAATGTAATTATTTGTAATTAACCATTTTATGTCATGATTATTTAGTAGTTATAGTCTGGGAAACTATTCAGTTAATTGTTTTAATTGGTTTGACATCCATGTCTACTTAATTACTTGACAAGATGGTTGATGTTAACAACATGCTACAGTGATATTAAATGTGTATTTATTTTGTTTTCTCAACAGAGGAAAAATGTTTCACCGAAATTAGTAAGTGTCAAGACAGAATTAATTACTGGACAGGTCAATCTAAAAATTAAAGTTTACTTAAATCATGGATACATTCAGTTCTTTTTTTTTTTTACAGAATTTAGAAGCAAATTATTAATCAAGATTAATAATATCAAGCTATTTTTAGTCCAATTTGCTGTATACATGTATTTCTCATTTTTGCAACTTCTTAACTATGCACTCTGAGGACGGTTATTTTTCTGGAACAAATTTCAAGAGCTGCTTTGCAATATTCGTGGCATGTGTGAGTGATAAATCTGTACAAGCTTGTACTGCTGAACATGTCCAGTCCGGGGGGGGGGGGGGTTCCCTTAGGATCTGTACCTATCTGAATCTCTGGTATTCTGAGGGAAAACAACTTTTGTAGATTTTTACTGACTGATGATGTTGGTTTCAATTTTTCATTGGGTGAACGCCTTGCCACATGTCAACCTTTTAAAAGTAATTAGATCTGGTGCCTGTCAGTGTACCCAACCATTCATTGTAAAATTGATGTTAGTTTGCAACTGCTATGTATACTATGTTGGTACATTTTAATGCAGTTGACAGTAGATGAGGAAAACCTCTGTCCTCAGAGTGCATTCAACCTGTACACATGGACATGCATCAAACCAGTAAATATGATCTGAATATGTAAAATTATAGCTTCTCCATAGTTGTTCAGTTCGGTAACAACACTGTTCTCGGGTCAATGCAAAGCTAACTACAAGATTGTGTCTGATTGGCTACCCAGCCCTAACATCTCACATCAAGACCAATCAGAGAGCAGCTTGTTTGTTTACAGGATTTTTCAACCTTGTATATACGCTCGATTCGACGGCTGTTTTCACGGTGAAGGAAGGGTGAAGATAAAGTAAAACAAATACTTTCATAGCTTGGGATATGGGGAAAAATATATTGCAATTTTTTTGAAAGAGAATTTATAGGTATATGAAGTGTTGTTTGTTTCCATATGAATATTAGGCTAGTGACACCCACTTTATTTTCTTTGGAATTATTAGAAAAGTAATTGATTTTAATATGTGTAACAATTTTTTTTTATAGAAATTATGCTTGACCTTAATAATGATATTCTCATAATTAACCATTTCATATATAAAATTATTTTCAATCTACATTATGGTTTTAAAAATCTTTTTTTTTCCCTCTTGGACATGTCTGATTTCAAACTCTTCATATGCATGTAATTGGGAAACTAAACAACCGCAGTAACCTGGTGTGAATTACAAACTAAAACTTGTTATTAGTTACCTAATGTTCTGAGGTTGCATCTATATTAACCAAGTGAATTTATTCTGAAAATCCTCTGTTGAGCTTGTGAGGGCGCTGTATGAAGTCCTGAAACCTCTTATTAACATTTTTTGTTGACCAATATGCACTGACAACAGCGATGGTCGTTGCGGCATGTCATGTTTGATATGGTTTCCCGGAAGTGTTATACAATTCATATACAATTCATATGTCTGTTTACATAAAAAAGAAATGTGACCACTTGCAGCATAATGAACACATTTATTCATTTTCTGTGAACCATCATAGATGAAGAATAAACAGTTTTGCTGTCAGGATTATAGTTGATGGGTTCTGGAAAATATGGTTCTGTGAATTTTAGATTTTATATGCATGTAGATATTCAGAAGTGATAAAAAAAAAGAATGATTCAATAAAAGTCGATTTACTTTATTTTGTATTTTGTGTGGTTTCTCTTAAATTGATACTTATCAATGTTATATTTTGGTTAGTCTGGGAGTGTTTAGCTAAATGCCACCAGGAACGTATTTTATCCATACAGACTAAAGTGGAATGTGGCTCTAATTAGGCCAATCTGATTAAAATAAGATCCTGGTTGGCTTAATTTATTTTTTTGTATTTGTTGTTATATAATTACTATAATTATTATTTATTTTAACTATTTGTTGACGTAACAATTATTTTGCTGCAAGAATGGGTTTGTTCGTGAAAGCCATCGGGATCTGAACAACCCACATAGGAACTCTTGTTCCACCAATGATTGAACCAGGCAATTTACCCAGCCAATCACAGAGTGTCTTACAAAGCGGTTAAACTCGTGTTTTGCGCAAGCGTAGAACTCCAGATGAAAATATGGCTGACCAAAAATGAACTGCTGCAGTAGTGAAGTTCGAGGTAGGTTTATGCGTTTTTCGATGAATGGCTTTCACGAACAAAACCATTCATGCAGCAAAATAAATATAACATTAAAAATAATTAAAATAAATAATAGTTATAGTAATTATATAACAAAAAATAAATTAAGCTAACCAGGATCTTATTTTAATCAGATTGCCTGTGAGGTCTGTGTGTCACAACTTACATTGCCATCTGACTGGTATTATTACCGGTATTAAGGATTCCAATCCAGCTGGTTGGAATATAAAGTTCTGCCGGAGATAAAATGTTGAGGCCATAGACAGGGACATTTCTTCCAGAAAAATCCAGGTATTGGGTTATTTATTCATTCTTAACTAACATAGTTAAAAAACACCATGATAAAATACAACAGGAAAGTTTTAGTAAGTGATATAAATTATAAATATAGTATTAAAAATTAAAATAAAGCGTAATACATGAGAACAATAACAATACTCGAAAATGTACCAATTGACCGGCGACCGTCCGTATCCAGCCATACACATGGCAGCCATTTATTGCAATTCTCGTCGTCTACTTTTACACAGTTCTGCTTATACCCCCAAATTTACATTTTCAAATTAGATTCAAAATAGACAAACAAATGAGCTCAAGCACTTCAATTAAGGTGATCAGTTTTGCGATCCATTGCATGATATGATGTAATTTAAATATATGTATTACTGTTTTCATGCTGCCGATACAAAGGTTGAATAAACATTATTATTATTATTATCGACTCGGAACCATTTTTAATGCATGGTATCATAGCCTATTGTTCACATTAAATTGTCTGGCAGTCCTAGATATTTAGTTCACAACGTAGAACTGACAAATGCAATGCACAAACAAGGACATATAAATGCAGATATGTTATTTGCCATATACTAAAGTACACGAACATATAGACTGTGACATTCTCAATGGCTTGTATTATGGTATTGTATCCGTGTCGTAGTCTACTATAAATATATACAAACAAACATTTAAGCTTATCAAATACAAACTGAAGACAATGAATAGTTGATGTTACGTGTGTTCAACGGCCTACTTGGTGATGATGGCACCATTGCCGTAAATTTGTTGCCTGAGTAAGCGCAGTGAGACTACACTCGGTTAGAATAAAAAACAACAACATTGATCCAACAGCAAATTACTTATTATCGTTATGAGCGCCTGTGGGGTTGTAAGTCATGAGATGAAATGCCATCACATCCTGAAGTGGCACCAGTGCCCGGTGTGTCCAGCACCATCAATCTTAGTATCACTTTCGCGCAAAGATGCAAAGAAAAAAACAACATTGCTGAATTCTTCCCAGCTGTATAACTAACAATTGATAAGGCTTGGCGGCGAATATGAGACGATAACGAGACGCGTAGCGTGTGTGAATTGGTTTCCAGGATGTTGTGCAAGGCATCACGAGAATGTTAACTTAACATTGCTGGGTTTCAGGAAGAATTGTTTGTTTGCCAAAAATATTGCCAATATATTTTGTGTATCCAAGATGCACCACTAATTTTAACACAAATTATAATGTCGCCATTTTGAATTTGTTAGTGCATAATGATGTATGCAGATCTGTCTGTATCTGATAAAACATCCCCTGACAAAAAGAACCCAGACAAAGAGCAAGTAGAACAAAACGTACAGTTGAGTCGTGCACTACTGCCTGTGGCTGCCGTGGTTGCCGTTTCCATGATCCAGTTTAAAAGTTATTCGTGTTAATGCGCCATTCGATCGTAATTACCGTGTAACTATGTCAAGTTAGAATAACCAGGCCCTTCTAAAAACCTCACATCATGTTTGCACCTGAATTTCACCTATCACACCACGGGGATGTGTAGTAACTTATATTAAATCTTAATAAAGAATTTAATATATATATATACATATTGCTGATAAAATAATAGAAATATGTTGAAAGAATAAGACAGATATATCTTTTGGAAAATTAACAAATAAGGAACACATGTTTCGTTGTTGGAACTGGCATTTATACACGCATAGTTTCGGACAAATGTGTCTCTAAAATGTTTTTAAAAGTGTTTTTTTTTCACAAACACTTAAACATATTTCCCAGCCAGTAGGAAGTATGTTTGGTGTTTGTTATTTTTCAACTGAAAGCTCGCTGAAGTCAATTTTCAAAATATCCAGGAATTAGGTCACACAACTGTGATGTGAATTGTATAATATTACAACACTTGTACACCATATACGTTCGGTAGAGATACAAAAATTGTGTATATGGAGGACGAGACTTGGTTCTATAGAGATGAACAAATCGTGACTTTCAATATGACCCCTTTAAAAAAAGTGATTTTATGAAAATGCGAAAAACTTAAAAAATGTATAATTGATTCAACGAAAAATGTAGACCCAAAACATAAAAAAATAACAACTTTCTAAAAAGCATGAGTACCCCAGTTTTTCTAATCGGAATTTTATTATCTAATTCTATAAAAATAAATATTACACATAGCAGTACGTTCAATCCTATATTAACTAACAGTAGTTATATCTTAGTAGTTCCATGTTTTGACCTTAGGACGGTTACAGATACAAATTAAACGATACTACGGTGGCGAACTCCAGAGATCCAAGATAAATATATATAGTTAATCATATAAGTACATATTAGGTGTCTTTAGGCCAGAGCCAAACTATTTTCCCGTTGGTGTGGTGTGTATTGCCTTCAGTTGCGAATATGCATTACTTGATTAAATAGTACTCTTGGTAAAACACATTAATCATTACGTAATGTCTGTCCAGTCAAATCAGATACAATTTCGCAATATCTACTTTTTTTCTTCTTTTATTACACATGGCGCCGATAACCAGGCCAATGACTCCAGTTATTCGCCAGACCGACGACTAAGAATGACCCAACATGTCAAGCATAAGCATTCCGTCCCCAATGGCTCGTGAGAAAACGTCTACATTGTTATGTAATAAATGTGTTTATGATTTATATCTAACGTAAGCTGATTGGTCAGTTTGTTTAACATACACAGGAACACTGGAACATATAAATCCAGGATACAAGCGTAATCACTACCAAAAGGTCTCCTTCCCACCTAGATATCGGAGCGCAGAGAAAGCAGCGGCAATGAACACAATACGTTGACTAGGCCTTGCGTAACCAATTCTAATTTTCATTTACAACAAAAAACAAACCATGCGGCTATTTGTTGCCTTTCTCTGGCTTGCTATCTTTTTTGCCGATGTTTGTAGAGCTGGAATGACATGGGCTGAAAATGTCGAACAAGGTAGCTCCGATTCCGAATTCTGGGCGACATCTGAAACTTCTGTGTCTGAAAACTTGGATACGGATGTGGCCTTAATGACAACGTCCCCAACCAGGACGCATGAAGCGACAAAACGCCTCCAATATATCAAAGACTTGCTCCTCAAAAAACTTGGTATGAAACAGCCTCCGGCATTGAACGTACCAATGTCGATTCCATCTAATCTGCAAGACGTACTGCTATCCGAAACTCAAAACGATCATCCAGCAGAGAAGCTAGATGAACCAGGGCACTTTTTCGCTGAAACGAAAAAAGTGATCAGCATTGCAAGAACACGTAAGTATTTCAAATTTATTTGATTGTAGCATCTCAACACAAGATCATTTCCATCATCGAAATGTTTGAGCAGAAATATATACATATTAATTCCAACACGACGCGAAGACCTTATCGCTGTTTTACTACCTACAAATAATTTATCTCCGTCAGTGTATTCACCTTTGTGTGTTCATTGACTATGAACAAAACTGACATAAAGTGATTTCAAATATGCTTTATTAATAAATGATTTACATGATCGTTTAATAAGACCTAGTATTTTGTAAACCTAATCACCAACAGCGGTAATGTGCTTTGAGGAATTCACATTGGCGGTAAGAATAATATGTGGTGATTGGCTGTAGTTATATGCATTGCACTTTTACACAAGTAAAGTTCTCAGTAGACGATCAATGTATAACAACACATTTTTTTGTTATTGAAAAGCCAGTTTATTGAGGACGACAATTTATTCTACTGTGGACGCGTGAATGAAAGGAATACCTAATTACCAACATCGTCATCAAATTTGCTAACGAATCGCATGTGTTGATGTAAGGAGATCTTTATTAATTTGAAACACTTTCGGCCACCTCATACTCAAAAGGAGGCAATTAATCGCACCTAATGTCAAGTGGTGTGACCTGGGGCATTTACATGTGGGCGTTAATTATATTTTATGGCCATTATTTCGTTTTATTAAATGATAAACAATTATCATGGAAAAAATTCATATACCGATCATGCCCCTCTCTAAAAGTATCTTGGCCTTCTAAGTTGAAAATGGGATGGCCTAATCTGATACGGTTCTCCAGACCACCAGTTTGAATCAGCACAGGCGATTCGTTAGCAAGTTTGCTGACGATGTTGGTAATTAGGCGTTCCTTTCATTCACGCGTCCACAATAATAGTGATATTTGCTTTGTTTCAGGACCCAACACATCCGACTGTTGTTTCTTCAAATTTACACCGGAAGTTCGCCAGAATAAAATTGCGAGCGCGTATCTGTGGGTGTATGTACAACCCAGTAAAACCATCCAAGATACTGCAGCATTGCTGAGAATTTATGGGTGGAGGCAGCAGACAGAAAACTCAGCGATGCCGAAATATCTTCTTAACGAAACCAAAATAGACACGCGCCGCCGTTCTGGATGGATCTATTTTAACATCAAAAATACTGTTCAGCACTGGCTCGGGGAACCATCCACTAACCGGGGAATAGAAATTGTGAGTCCAAATACCATGGATTTGGTAGTAACAGGACCAATTGAAACTGGCAATAACCAGGTACGTATGCTAAATATTAGAGCAGGTTTAAAGAATTGCATCTTTATATATAATGAATGCATCTTTTTTTTTTATTTAATAAACACCAATTTTCTCCATTGTGTGTACTACCTTAAAATATAACAATATGAAATGGTAACTACAAAATGTACTTAGATGATCATCAATATAGTTGTATTTTTCTGTATTATTTTGCGTGTTACATGATCAAATTGGAAAGATTATTGTTTATCTTTGCTTAATTTACTCACCCTGTAAAATAAAACATTTCAACATCAGTGAATACGAAAATTTGAACATTTTCACTTTCATAGACGATGTCAATATAATTTAACGACGATATAAACTATATTAAATTGATTCATTTATACACTAGATCACACATTATCATTTCAGAAAACGAAAAAAAAGTACTGATCAGAAGACATGTCCCCCTACATTTCTCACAGTCAAAAAACAGATGCACCAACTTATATACAACAGTCAGTTAAACAGATCTTGCCCCGCCTTCTCGTGTAACAGTTTGTCTAGCATTATGATACCTTCGATCTGCGAAACCCCCAAATATCCATCAACGACATTCCGCCAAAGAACACAACATGCTATAAACGTAAAGGCAAGGTGATATGTTCATGGATATGTAACAACCGAAATAAAACAGCGAGTTTTAGACAAAAACAGAGCAAAATATGAAATGTGCCTGTCCTTTGCCATGGGGTAAGCTCAAATATGAACAAAATTCCCATTCAATAGTCATAGAAAACTAAAATTCAGTCTTCAAATATACCCAGATTGTACTTTGTGGATGACGGTGTGTGCTTTACATTATGTGTGTTTTAAATTATAGAAGTTTATGCTGATTTTAAAGTGGTTACTCGTCATTTTGTAGTTTGTGTGCAGTTAACTATAGAGAATACCCACAATACTTTTATTTTATCTATTATCAACTCTATAATGTGAATTTTTTTTTTATGTAGAATATATGTGAACATATTTCCCAATTACAGCATGTGTACAGGGCAGTGTTGGTTAGCTTATGTGTAGTATTGATCTCCAAGTGTGTAGTTAGCTGACGGAGCACTAAATGACTTGTTTGTTTGTTCAAGGTATTATAATGCTGGTCAAAAAATACAGTATTTACATGTAAAATCATTTTAAACCACTCAAAATATGCTGTCGGAATGTCCGCCGTTGAAAAAAAATAAGAAAGAAATTATTATGCCGAAACGTCCGTTCCCTGTATTTTGGGACTAACTTTAATAAAATTAAAGCAATTCATGTACATTTGAACAGATGTAGTACATAACCGTTAGACTCGTTGATTTACAACAAAATAAATGTTTTTCTCTGTTTGCAGTTACCCTATCTGGAAATACAGACTTCACAACGTGGACACATTAGAAGTAAACGTTCTGCAGTTCAAGACTGTCCAAAGAACGGAGAAGTTGAACAATGTTGTCGTCATCCATTAGAAGTGAACTTCAAAAATGATGGCATGGAGTATGTCGCTGCACCCAAGACGTATGACGCCTACTATTGTACCGGCGAATGTAACATTCGTTCGAATGCCTACTCATTACTGTTATCGCTACGCGGTATTGAACAATGCTGCAATCCTTTGCAAAGGGAGGCCATAACAATAATCTACTACACAGACAGCTACACACTCAAGAAAGCTAGGATTAACGACATGGTTGTAAACAAATGCGAATGTTCTTAAAGCGGGGGAGTCGCCCCCTCGCATGTGCGGAAAACGGCCATAGCGTGTCGTTGTTTACAAACCAGCGTCTACCCACGAGCCTTTGCGTTATTAGCGTGCGTTGTTATCGTCACCTGGGACTCGATTCCCGCGCGTGCGCAGGTGATGACCCTTCCGCTTTAAATTAGGGCTGAATAACGACCAGGAGATACTATTATAGGAGATTTAAGTAGTTCATGTTGTTTTTAAAGAGAATATCCCACCGAATATGTATTATTAAGTTGTCTTACTTTTTCTTAAGTTAATCTAGCATTGATACGGCACATAAACTACCACGTTATCTATATCTAAGCTTTCAGATGATATATAGGCTGTAATATAGCATGCTTATTAACTTTGAGAGAATGTCTGTATCAAACCTGGAAATACGCGAGCTGCATCATAACTTTAGGATTTACTTTATACATACTCGAGGTGGTTTAAATTTTCTACTTTTCGTGAATATTTGTTTATGACTGATATTATCTATATTATCTATATATCTATTATCTATATATCTATTATCTATATCTATATCTATATCTATATACTAAATTTGATGTCATCGTAATTTGCATATTCTGAATCAACCCATCTGATCAGCTCATATGTCGCACTTGTTTTAATGTCAAGTGTTCCCGATAATATATATATTTCAACCTAGATTTATTGTGATTAAACGCCGGCGTTTCCTAATACCAGTAAGCTGAATCAGTTGCTTGATAATATACGAAACTATAAAATGATAAATGAGATGGTATATGCCTTGGATGGTGTGTTGGTGTGTATCGTAAAGCATAACTATGAGTCGCTGTTTACAGCTGACATCAAACCCCACTTTGCATTCTGGGAAATACACAGAAGCACTCATATATAAATTGTACTAAATTACTTTCAAGGCATTTGATTGAATACTGGTTTAGAAAACTGCACAATATACTCGTATTACGAGTCAAAGATAGATTATATGTGGCAATCTGATGAGCTAAGTTTGTACATCGTCGACATGGACTTTCTGCTACTACCCTGCCATAATTAGTGTATTACTAAGGTGACGTTTATGCGTCGCTTCCAGCCAGCCAACATGAAATTCCCAAAACTACATTATCTACTACAACCATGTATAGCAATTCGTCGAGGCCCGCATCTTGCCGAGCTAGAAATGAACAGTAATGCAATGAACAGTAAAATACTGTCACACCACCTCGAGGGCCATTTTAAAAATACACTTAATATTTACGCAATAATAATAATGCATTCCAAAATATGAATATGAATATTCTTGGTGAAATTAACATATTTGATAATGACGTGTTCTAAATCAACTTGTCGTTTTCTGTCACTGATATGTAAAACAGACCAAACACCTTGAATCCAAGCATTCCCAAACACCGTGAACGCATTTGCATTGTAGACAATACATGTACGCAGATATTCGCTATGGCCCATGACGAATTATAACAAACGAAGCGCCATGTCATGTTCGTAGCCGTTTTTGAAGACAAACATATGCACAAAGAAGTGTTCTGTGAAGCAACAATGACATTCTGGATAAATTAGACAGCTAGTCCCCGGAGTGCCCCGATTGATTGATTCATTGAAATATTACAAGGTTGGAGTAATTTAGATATAAGCACCCGAATAGAGGTACACAGTCGTAGCTAACTGAATTCTCTCTGTGCTGATATTTTTATTTCATCTTTGAGCGCTGACTCTTTCGATGACCCAAAATGTTTCGAGTTCATCTGAAGTGCCAACTATCACTTTCCACAGTGTTAGCTTACAGCTAGTAAATTCTCCATCACGGTTGGATGCGGTTACGTAAGCTATTCTGATCTAGTAATATTACCAATAATTTATAATTTATCACAGGTCAATAACATTTATTAATTAAAAAGTATTAAGTGCTAGGAGCTATTTAAAAAAAAATCGCAGAGCGAGGGCGCTATTTTGAATTCTTCGTGACCTGCAGTGATTGAAAACGAACCGGTGACAAATAGTGATGCTTGAGGGCGCACTGAATTCAGTTATTGTTGCGTTTTATTTCGTGTTTTCTATGATTTTCTTTGTAATCAAAGTCACGCAGTAATTATAAGGTTATTAATTAAATTATAATTATTAAATTTAAGGGGCGTTTAAATTTCTTGTAAACAAAGAAGATATTTTACACGTGTTGTACACATCGCTATGGGGCCCGAACACGATCCCTTATAAGGTCCCTTATAATTATTGCTTGGTCCAATTGTGACGGACATGATTCGTCATCAAGATATGATACGTACTAGTGGTAGTATGGTTTTCCTCACATTCGTAGACAGCATGTCAACTCATGGACATAACAATTAGTAGTTGCGTTTTATGGAGTTGTCAATTATTTTATTCATCATCTATAATAACATATGTGTTTGTAATATTAATTACCAATAATTCCTTTCCCATATACAAAAAATGGCAAAATACAATAATGCGACAATATCTTCTGTAAATATTCTGGTCGACGATAATACCTTTCAATTACAACTATTATATAATTTGTTCAATGACATTGGGAGACCAGTAGTCTGAACATAGAACATATGGCGATGGTTAGAGCGCCACCATTCGGGCTGGCTGAGTTCCGAACCCTAGTAACTAAAGGAGTAGTAAAAATAAACAATGCGTTACCGATGTTTAAACATTTAACTGTCGGACAGATCAGTAGCGCATATAAATTACCCTTGAATACGAATGGGCATTCCAGAGTTCAACGTCCGTTTACAAATATACATGAAAAAAATGCGTTGTTTTAAAGGTAGTTTCCCCAAATCAAGCCGTGTTGTTTCTCGGATCGGCAACATCGTTTATATTGCTAACGGCTAACGACAGAAATACGCAATTTAATTGACTTTAGAATCGCATTACACAATGGTAGCCTATAATCAAGGTGTATATTTACCTTTGAGTACCGTGACTGTGATGCAATTTGCTATGAGAAATGCTCTCACAAAGAAAACCTCACTATTCCAATGCATCACTATGCTATGATTGATAACGTGTTGAATCATATAATCGACGACTTTACCGGACTTTAGCGGCGATTTAATTTGCCAATTCGTCGCATTTGATGGTTTTGCGCACAGACGCAGTAAATTATGCAATCAGATTGTGTAGTGGATTTTAACGTACTCGCAAAACATTAATTCCAATTACGATGATTTCCGCAAGTGAAAATTCTGTTTTGATTTCCCTGTATGCAATTCGATTTGTTTTTTTAAATCGCATAAACTTAACTTACGTTATTTCACAATCGAATGAATACATGGAAATACGATTCATTGGAAATAACACAAGGAATGAGGATGTAACCAAATTAAAGTGTATGGAGTATAGTGTACTTTCGGTTCAGTGCATGGACAAACATACGTAAATTTATAAAATACGTAGCTGCATGTATACACGTTAATATTGTGTTTGTTTTGTGTTAGCAGATTTGAATGCTTATATTCACTTCAAACTCGTGGGTATTGTTATCAACTCTGTTGCACAATGCATCATTCGCGACGATAATGTAAATATTGATTAGCAGGAATGTATAAATAATGACTTAATTATAAACTTCTGATTTATATCGAGTTTTCCTAATCCCAATATAATCAAGTATGATTTATCATCAATATAGTAATGTTTGGAAATAATTTCACTGAAATCGATTATACATGATGTGCATATCTCCAGAATACGTACACTTCAGTTTAAAATGCTTTCTACACGCAAACCTGTAAGAATATCGCAACACGGTGTCAGTAAACGTGCGTTTTGAAATCAAAATCAAAACAACGCCAGCTGTGATGTAGTAATAATCTACGTTTAATTTCTTAATCCATATTCAAGAGCGTAATATACAATTTTCCTGCGTTAACCGCGACAAAACCTCCGATCAGACTCTGACGTTGATTGTTAATTTAAAGTGGGTACTGTATAAAGTCGATCCTAAGTGGCCAATCCGCGAGAGACTTTCCTTTTTATTCGTCTCTGTCAGCGTGTACGAAGAAGTGAACCCAATTCTTATAATGTGCGCTATAGATTTGCAAGATCTAAAATTCACTACATAATCAAGGAAGTGCACTACATTGGAGGGCTAAATTTAGATTCCATTATGATTCCCATTACCATAAAACAACCGCGAATTTACTTAGGGATATTGTACTCAGTGTGGATTGTGACACTATCATGTGATTCTACAAATCCTGCGTAACAGTAAAATCCAAAGAAAGTCGGTGGGAAAATAGAAAATGTTCATTTGGCAGCATGATAATTATATAATATTTTGTGATATAGTATAATGTTCTAAACGTTACGTACGGATACCATATTTGGGATCACCCCGCTCTTCGGTTATTATCTCGTCAAATATGCTAATTTTCCACAGCAAAGTTTTATATCTTTATATTTTAGTATGACATAGCTGTGGTAGTAAACATTTGTAATTTTGCCCCCGAACTGTGACGTATATGCACAATGCCGTACTGAAAGTGATTTAAATATTCAGTTCACTGTATGTTGCAAATTATCGCAGTCATACAGGTAGTTCAATTGATTTAATTTGTGGCTAGACACGTATATACACGCCCCGGGGATACACGCAGGAAGTTTTTTTTTTTCACTCCACTGAAGAGACTGTCATCACGCTACTACAAGGAATCATTTTAATATGTTCGTATTGTGTTACATATACCGATGTTGTCCAATGTACTCTGTAAGTGTAATGATGACGCATGTGAGAGCTAAACTTAGTTAACATGATGACAAGTGAAGTCATTATAAGCTCTTGTAGTGTGCATGTGACCGGCTTGTCAATACATATATTCGGCGGTACGCAATTAACACAGATAGTGTGCCAAATGACTGGATTACGTACACTGTCCTATTAAGCAGTGTACACCTATTCTAAAAATCTACCGCCAGTTTACCGATGAGCAGTAAACAACGTTTTGATTTATATTTTTATAGCCCTGAGAATGCAGGGTTAGCAAATAATACAATACATTGATTATATCATTTACTGTTAATGTACTAACGAAAGTCTCATAATAGCTTTGAATGTCTTTTTTTGTTAGTGACAGCAAGTTTGCATTTGATTGAACTAGGCATGCGCTTCAACACTGAGTTACAGCGACGAGTATACGAGTTAAATGTACCGAGTCTTTGTGTGTTTTTGCGATGATATACGTAAACTTAATTTATTCGACACAATTGATCTGATATACAGTGCAGCGTTCGTCTAATGTTTCCATATATCCGCATATCTAACAATATCTCAGCATCGAATTCAATGGTAACTGTTGTGATTGCCACGGATATACAGAGGAAACCCTTCAAACATGTTCCAACCCAGAAAATGGTTAATATTTGCGTGATTTGATTGTGGCTATGGTTTGTGGGAATTCACCATGAGTGACAAGCTCCTAACAACATCCACACTGTGCAATATATATATATTATATGTAAAACTATTACAGTTTCATTTGATTCAGTGAGTGAGGGCCTGCGTTGCATGTGAAATATAATTTAAATTAAAAATTCACAATACATCGCGTAAACGGAATGACGTCATCGTAAAATGGAATTCAAAGGACAGGAGTGCTATAACTGTTCAATTAAAAATCAATGACGTAATTAACAGCATTCCACCATTTGTAATTTGTATCGAGTATCGCGGCATGTAATCTATGATTGCTGATAATATCGATTGTCGTGCGTGAACATCTTTATTGTCCATGTTCAATACCCTATATATCTACTTACAAAAACAAATAACTATAGAGTACCATATTTAGATAGAAATACGGAATACACATTTTCAACAAGTCTCGTCCCTACGTAATTACATAATTTGGTGCAAGTACTGACGTTCAGCGGTCATTGCATCCATTGACGTCACAGAAACTATTCATTGCCAGAGGGCGCCAAACACTGAGGTTCGGCTAATGATTATAATACGTGATACGCATGTTAATGTGCGAAGTTAGGAAATACCGCAACACAATTTAAATTTTGGGTTATAAATAGAATTAAGTTCATATTCATTCAGCTATTCCATTGTTCTTTATCAAAACACAGTGCAGGGGAAATTTGGAAGGTAGTATGTATTCTAATTTCGTCTTTACATAAATAAACTTTATAATTAACAGTAAATAAAACATTTGCATTTCTGTACAAATTAAATTATATAGATCAGCGCTTCCTTCATCAGTCAGATGTTTCTCAAACAGGTGTGTGCGTCGTTTTGAAATCGCTTTCCTACAGCGTAACAAATCGAACCTTGCACAGGGGCGGGTGCAAGGTGTTCCGTTGGAGGCACACTTAAATGACG